CCGAGAAACACTTCGAAGTGGATGCATGTTGAAATATCCACTGTTTGACTCTCAGAACAAGTTCAAGTGAAGCTCTTTTATCTGAAGATTAACAAATTTTATAACTTCATTCCTACGATAAAAACAATATCCTATCAATTCATATTGCTCATCAATTGAATTAGGCATAAAATCAAGTCACCAAATCGAATGAAAACTCACAGTACAAGGGGAGAAGTTTACAATGTCGGAAAATCTTTTTTCCGGGTTATTTTGTTTTGCAAAAAAAAGTTTTGTATCTTATCAAAGCTTCAATAAATGCTTCATGACATTTACTTGGTCGATTTTATTTTCAAGGAACTCAATTGGGCATTCATCCTCTTATTATCAACTACTTGAGGATCCTAAATCAAGATGGGAAAACATCGAAAGCCCACTAAAACTCCTGGCGCAAAGGTTGTGTCAAAATCAGATGAGGATATCCCCTCTTTCGACGAAAATGCTTTATCGGCATTAACTTCGAAAATTGAGAAGGGATTCGCAAAAGGCAAAGCATCAAACAAATCTCCTGAATCGAAACCCAAATCCCCTAAGCCAAACAAAGCGAATACGTCGACAAATTCTACAGACTCAAAACCAAAATCTAAACCGCAAGAATCCGGTCGAGGAACGAAGAGAGATGCGCAAGGCAATGCAAAGGGCAAAGCAGATGGATCATCCAATGAAGCACCAAAATCAGGAAGTGATAGAGAGGTCTTACTACAGGAAATATTGGCATTGGGAGGAACAGAAGAAGACTTAGATCTTGTACTTGACGCTCAATCCGACTCTGAAAATGAAGACGAAGGAAAACCGGCATCTATCGACAAGGGTTTCAAGAATGAGTTTGCCAAATTTGTGGCAGGGCTTGGAATCGAGGGACGAGCTCCTGGAGCTGAGGCAGATTCAGAAGTTGAGGATGAGGTAGAGGGAGTAGATGGTGACGATTGGGAGGAGGCATCTGCATCAGCATTAGAATCAGGAGAAAGTGAAGAGGAAGAGGCTCCTAAGGTGCCAGAGAAAGCTGCGGTCAAGGCTAAAGAATCTTCGAAGGATCAAAATCGCCTGGTTAGTAGCTTCCTCTCTCTATTTTGAGTCCACTGACCGATTATAGAATTTTGAAGCCCGAGCAGATTGGCATGCCGCAGAGCTCCTCACCCTTCCCACAGGAGATTTCAGCGAGTCAAGACCATACCAAGAATCGATAAAAAATCTCAAGGAATATGCCACGACCCTTCTTGAAGCGGATAGTACACTCTATGCCTCAAAACATCTTTCTGCGACTTCTTCACATCGTTTTCTTGCCACGATCATGTCCTCTGGTACATTATCCGATAAGATTTCCGCGTTAACTTTGGTTGTTCAGGAATCCCCAGTTCACACTACAAGATCATTCGAAAGTTTATTAGATTTGGCGAAGAAGCGAAGTAGGGGACAAGCCGTGACAGCATTGGGTGCTATGAAAGATTTATTGGGAGCTGGTGTTATGCTTCCTGCAGATAGACGTCTTCGAACATTTCCTTCTCAACCTGGACTTCTTGGTACGTTACAAGAAAGCGATACTGGTGTCTGGAGATCTGGACAACCTTTACCCGGAAACATGACCAAAGCGCATCTTATTTCATGGGCATTCGAAGATTGGCTCAAGGAGTCATATTTTGATATGCTCAAGATTTTGGAAGTGTGGTGCAACGATGAGGTAGAATATGCTCGTTCAAGAGCTGTTACCTACGTTTATGAACTGTTGAAGGAGAAACCAGAACAAGAATCTAATTTACTACGATTATTGGTCAACAAACTCGGTGATCCAGATAAAAAGATTGCTTCACGATCATCATACCTTTTATTACAACTCCAAACCTCTCACCCATTGATGAAACCGATCATCATTAACTCGATAGAAAACGAACTCATTTTAAGACCTGGACAGAGTTCACACGCCAAATATTACGCCATTAATACTCTCAATCAAACGATTCTTAGTTCAAAAGAAGAAGAGGTTGCGAAAAAGCTTCTGAGCATATACTTTGGTCTTTTCGTATCTCTTCTCAAAAAGCCTGAAGTCATCAAACCTACGGGTCCTAAACTCAACAAAAAAGGAGAAATACAAGGAGGCGGAGGTGCTATGGGAAAGAAGGCAAAGGAAAAGTTGACAGCAGAAGAGGAGGCAAAGCAGGCAAGCGAGGAGACAACAGAGAAAATGATCTCCGCAGTTTTGACTGGAGTCAATCGTGCATTCCCATTCACAAAGACGGACGACTTGACGTAAGTTCAGTTATTTTGTTAGCTGTTGACAATGCTAACTAATTTAGGCTTGAGAAACACATGGATACCTTGTTCAGAATCACACACTCATCCAATTTCAATACCAGTATTCAAGCTTTGATGTTAATTGAGCAATTGTCAACAACAAAACACCTTGCTGTCGACCGATTTTACAGAACCCTTTACGAGTCCTTACTCGATCCTCGTCTAATCACATCTTCGAAGCATGCCCTATATCTTAACCTGCTCTACAGAGCTTTGAAAGCAGATGTTAATATCAAGCGCGTCAAGGCTTTCGCAAAGAGAATGTTACAAGTTGTAACCCTCCATCAACCTCCATTCATATGTGGTATCATCTATTTGATGAGAGAGTTAGAGGTTACATTCCCTGGGCTCAAGTCTCTTTTAAAAGATCCCGAAGCAAATGATGATGAAGATGAAGTATTCCGAGATGTGCCAGAAGATGGAGAGGCCGTAGAAATTCAAGCCACAGAATCCACAGCGAAACCCAAGGCAGATACATACGATGGAAAGAAGAGGGATCCGGAGCACAGTAATGCCGACAAGAGTTGTCTGTGGGAAATTGTAAGTCTTTCTTCATAGAGTAAGAGAGCTGCACTAACAATCAAAGATTCCTTTCTTAGTACACTTCCATCCCTCAGTATCTCTATTTGTTGACCGCCTTCTCAATGACGAAAAAATGCCACCTAAACCAGATCTTGCTTCTCACACCTTGGCCCATTTCTTAGATCGTTTTGTCTACAGAAACGCAAAAGCAGCAGCTGGAGCACCAAAAGGGAGCTCCCTTATGCAACCTCTTGCTGGTGGAGCAAGTCAAGGTATTCTTGTATCCAATCGTGGTTCCAAGGTACAACAATCCGTCAATTCAGAAGCATTCTGGAGAAAGAAGGCAGAGGATGTCGCGGTTGATGAAGTCTTCTTCCACAAATACTTTAACCAAATCGGGAAAGGCAAAGATGCAGCAAAGAAGAAGGAGAAGAAGGAGAAGAGGATGGGCGAAGACGGAGAGGATGATGAGGATGAGGATGAGGATGAGATTTGGCAAGCTTTGGTTGAAAGCAAGCCAGACATTGAGGGTCCAGAGTCTGATGATGATGATTTGGACATGGATGATTTCGATATGTCTGAGGACGATTCTGAAGGTGGTGTTGATATTGAAGGATCAGATGAGGAAGTTGACATTGAAGGAGAGGACGAAGATGAAAATATGAAAGATGACGAGGAAGATGATGGAGAAGGAATCTTCTCTGAAGAAGACGATGACCTTAAGGACAGTGATGATGAAGCAGGATCCGATATGGATGCATTATTCGAAGCTGAATTACAGAGAGCAAAGAGCCCTGAGGAGGAGGAAGAGAAGAAAGAGACTAGCAGGAGCAAGAGGAGAAAGCTTAAGAATCTTCCTACATTCGCTAGTGCAGATGATTATGCGGCTATGCTAGATAATGATGGAGATGAGGATATGGGTATGGGAAAGGGAAAATAAAAGAGTAATGTTGGAGATGTGAGAAGAGATGTAAAAAGCTCGTTTATACCGCTACGAGAACTATGTGGAGATGTTGGCGGTAGTCAGTATGAGTATTGTTGAGATGAATTAAAACAATTATACCCGCGTCAAAAGTTTGAGTAAAAAAAGCGTAATTATTGAGTGAAATATCCTGATCTCAAATAAAACCTTGAAGGAGGTTCACAGAAAGGGAACTTCCACACCTCGATCGTCTTGATTATTGTTCATTGTAGGCTCATAAACTCCCCATCCATAATAATCCTTAATCCAAACGTGTCAATATCATCCATTTTCTGTCTCTACTCATCAAACCAATCCAATTCGTCATTCTCCTCGAAAATAGCCCTAAACTTTTTTCCCTCCTCACCTCCAACGTCCTTCTCCTCCATATGAATACAATGTAGCTTTGCGGTATCAGAATCTCCAGGAATAAAAGCACGGAACATGAAATATCTGTCCTCTGTTTCGGGGATGAGGACTTTGCCTAGGAGGTGCAATCCATAGGCGCTATTAGCTACGCGGACGGACTTTAAAGAGGAGGAGTCGAAGGAGGTGAGGGTGTGGTCTGAGACGTGAGATATGGGGGCGAAGTACTGAGGTTCGTGTTCTGTGAAGTGGGTTAAGAGTTAGTTTAGAGCTGTGGTCGAAGTTATGGCTAGAGGGGAGGGGAGAGAACGAACTATCGGTTTCGTGACGGAGATGTTGAATCTTTCTTTTTAGTTCAGTTTCAATCTTGTTGAAGGCGATAATGCTGTCCTCTTTTGGTGCATGTATTGGGCCAATTTGAACGGTTTCCGCAGTAGCCATGATGAATGATCAGCTGATTGTCTTGTTTTTTTGATGAATTCGACGTGGCGCTTGTCAAGGACTTTAATTTTGCAAGATGTGGAAGCTATTTGTGAGTTAGAGCAAAAGTCAGATGCACACAATACTGTTGTGAAGCTCAAGTGAATACATCAAAATAAAATGACCAGTTGGTGGAAAGAGGGGTCCCATTTTATAAGTTGTTGGTTCACTGGTGGTTTGAAATCAAACAGGGGTAGCTGGAAGTGCATAAATGAGGGGCTTTGTTGTTTATCATTGACCTATGCATCATTCAAAACAGGTGTTGGCCTGCTTGGCTGTACACTTCTCAACGTGCCAGAATGCACACATGATGAGTATGATTGGGCGACAATTAGTAAAAGTCTCCTTTTTCATGTACAGAGCGACCTTCAAAATGGAGCTCTATATCGAGCTGTTTATGGACACGAGGTGACGTCGTTGAGCATAGCGTGATTGGGATTTCATATATTGTACCACATTGTCCATTCACAAAGTAGAATACATATCTAATTCTAGCACCGCTTATGGCTTTACACCATCAAAGATTTTCAATCAACTTTACTTCAAACTAAAGCAGGTACGAATTATTCAATACGCATCTAACTCACTAGGGTAGACAGCTAGCTCTTGAGTTTAGAGGTTAGTTCTGGCGAGATAAGATAAGATTTCGGTAAAACAGAACCTCCGAATTTTGTGGGGTCAAGTCGGAATCATTGATCCTCGGCTGGTTTGCGCTGCAGTAACCAGATAATATAAAAACTCACAAATTTGTCTTACTTGTTGTAGTTGACGTTTAGTATAAGAAGTGTTACTTGCAATTGCCCATTCTCTTTTCTGTATCAGCATGCGAAGGTCATAGCCTTTTAAAGTATCATAACTTCAGATGTCTTTCTCTCGTCAATTTTTACAGCCTCGAGCTGGAATATATCGAGCTGTAGGTCACACTTCAGGAATTGCACAATGTCGTGGAGCAGCTTTGAGAAATACGTCTCTGTCCTCTTCTTCCAGAACTTTTTCCACGGCTCGTCGATTGTGTAGTGCGGAGAGTAGGTATTTTTCCACTTTCTCTTCAAAATATTTGACTGACCTGACGCTACAGCTACTATTCCTCCGCCTCCGCAACCATCCTTTCTCTTACGAACTCTCACTTTCTTTGGAATAGCCATTGTCTTCACTTCCGTAGGCTTTTCAATAGCTGCCTACCCAGCTTTCAAAGCCGCCAATGCCATACTCAATCCTCCATCCGATGAGGAATCGATCAAGTTATACACACCAACCGATGCGAAATCTCTCGAAGTCGAAGCGTACATAAACAATCATCCACTCGTAGAAGAACTACGATCCCGACCTGAGATTACAGAATCAAGACCACATTTGAAAATCCCTGAATCACAAAGAGGACATAATCTTACAGGTGGAACATTGATGGGACCCGGACGTGTTCAAGTACCACCATATGTATGGACTGAAGCAGGCGGTAAATCCCTCGTGTCGATCTCCTACCTGGGAGAAGATCTATGTGGACATCCAACCATTGTACACGGAGGATTTCTAGCTACAATGTTAGATGAGGGGTTAGGACGATGTTGTTTTGGTGCATTGCCGAATAGGATTGGTATGACGGCTACTTTGACGGTCAATTATAGGGCTCCCACGCCTGCGAATACATTTGTCGTGTTAAGAGCGGAGACTACAAAAGTAGAAGGGAGAAAGGCCTGGGTTGAGGGAAGAATTGAGACTTTAGTTGAGGAGGGAGAGACGCCGAAAGTTCTATGTGAGGGAAGTGCCCTCTTTATTGAGCCTAGACAAGCCAAGGTGAGTTTGAAAGGCTGTAATAATGTTGTCATAAATGCTAATGAGTTTTTAGATGATGGCTAGAATATACCCGGCTACATAAAATGTAAGAGGACGCATGCTCAGTCCAAGGACACAGGAGAAGAAAAATGTCAATATAGAAGGCGGATCCACGTCGAGAGTAAGTATTCTGGGTCTGGATATAAGATTAGACAAGAAGTGTGAGATCTAGATATTACTTTTAGACTACTCGAATAGAAAGATATAATTTCATGGCCATACTTTGTACCAGCACCAACTCACAATTTCCCATCGCAAGCACGACACGCATCTTCCCGTTCACCTAACTTAATACCTTGTAACAAATGCAAGTAATAGATTACTTTCCTCTGAAATATAGTCGCGAGACAACAAACACGTGATTCAATACCCCACCATGTAGTAACGGTAACATCCTCACGCATTTGTCAAATTTATGTGTAGTGCGGGGCAGAAAATTATAGTGCACCGGTAGCGGGTTAAATAAGGGGAGACTCTTGACCTTGTTACTGGCGGCGATCCATTGATTTCGATTGCGTGATTGTCTTCTCTCTTCTTTATTCTTTCACTTCTATCCCGACCCGACTATATCCAAACCTACTCTCATTTCCTCACACAAAATCTTCAAGATGGCTACGTACGTTCTCTCTTGCGTTAAATATCTAATCACTTCTACGTTTGAGCCCGAACAGAAAGATACATAAAGAGAGCTGAACAAAATACTAACAACCTCCCACAGAAACATCACCTGGCACCCATCGCTCACCCGCGCCGAGCGCACCACCCTCCGCAAACAACGCGGCATGACAATCTGGTTTACAGGACTCTCTGCCTCAGGAAAATCTACCATAGCCACAGCCCTCGAGCAACATCTCCTGCACCTCGGGCACGCAGCCTACCGTCTCGACGGCGACAATGTGCGATTCGGACTGAACAAAGATCTTGGGTTTGACGAGAAATCCCGCAACGAGAATATTCGTCGGATTGCCGAAGTCGCAAAGTTGTTCGCCGATAGCTGTACAATTGCGTTGACTTCGTTTATTTCTCCGTACAAGGCGGATCGTGCGGTTGCGAGGGAATTACATGAGAAGGCTGCGAATGGGGATGAGGCAATTCCGTTCATTGAGGTTTTTATTGATATTCCGGTTGAGGAGGCTGAGAAGAGAGATCCAAAAGGATTGTACAAGAAGGCTAGAGCGGGGGAGATTAAGGAATTCACCGGAATCAGTGCGCCATATGAGGAACCTGAGAAGGCAGAGATCCATTTGAGGACGGATAAACTGAGTGTGGAGGAGTGTGTGCAAAAGATTGTGGAGTACTTGGAGAAGGAGAATTTGTTGAAGTTGTAGATATAGATACCTTGGGTTAAGACATTTTGGGGACTGGGAGGATATTTCGCAAAAACACTAGAAATGATAGAATTCAACGATTAAAAACTTTGATCGATTTGAAAACAATTGCTTTGTTGATATCTCTTAATACGATACAATAATACAAATGCATGCTTCAACAAATATGAACCCAATGCCATGCGCCAACTTTCACTCGCCATATTCATATAACTCCTAGTGCCATCTAAATGATTTCGAATTCATAATAGACATAGGCCGTGTATTCATTGCCTTCTTGTCCGCCAACTCCCGCAGCAGCGATCTCTGATGATAATGCTGAATCATCTTTTAGAGCCTTTCCTTTCTTGTCTCGACCAAAAGCATTACCTCCGAGGTAACCATATGCTGAATCGAGGGCTGTTTTCGCTTTCTTTGCTCCTTTGGCGTTTGACTGGGAAGGATTAGTAAAATTTGACAGTACTTAGGCTTTGCATTCATACCTTGACCAAACCACAGACAAAATCCAGAGGTAATCCATATCTCAAGACCGTCTCAACAAATACTCTCAAAGTTAAGACGTGTATCCATATCATAACAGCTTCACTCCAACCAGTTCTACTAAGCCTTAAAGCTTCACCCCATACCTTGCGCTCATCCTTTTCTACTCGCTCAGCCTCCTTCTTCTCCTGCTCCTGCCCACCCTCTACATACTTGTAATCGCGGGGAGTCCATTTATTTTCTCTGCATTTGTGTTGAAATTCTGCGCTGTGCTTTTTAAATGTTGTAACTGCAAATAATGTGAATTCATCATCGTGGGTAACCTCCACCGAGGATCTTGGGACAACCATAGGAGATATGGTTTCATAAGTCTTGAGGAAATCCTTTTTGACATTGGTTGGAACAACGACGAGGTGAGTTTCTAGGTATTCGGAATCCTGTACTAGTAATTTGGGATCGACGACTGGAGTAAGGGATTTGGTAGAGAGATTTCCACTTCGCGTTATTAGCATTTTACCAAAACCCCAGAACACAAAGCTCTTACGTTTGTTTCCGCTGTAATGTTGTAAGATTTGTCTTGACTTGGTTGTATTGGGTCATTTTACCCTTAACATCATTATCGATACTAACAAGTTCCTTTATTTCGTCAGCAAAATCGTTCACCCCTAACTGCGAATGTTGCCAACCTTTTGTAATGAATCGATCAGCTCTGCCAGTGGTTTGTCGGCACGGTATTTGACTTTGTTCCAAGAGAAAGTACGTAGGTATTGGTCCGCTGGTTCTATACGCAAACCATTAGCCCAAGATCATAATCACAAGCTCGTAGATCACTATACTCACTATCATTGACAGTTTTTTGTTGTGCAATCTTGCTCTCATCCCCTTCCAATAAATTGCGAAGAGATTCCCCAACTTTTGCTACAACACCTTGACAAGCGCTTTCCAACTTTGCAAGATCATCTGCTTGCCCAACCAATGCATCCAGTGTACCGATTTTAAATTCAGGGATCTTGAATGGTATAGTGGTTCCATTATCCGTAGAAATTGTAGACCGCAAAGCTGTTAAAGCCTCATCTTTATCGCCAGAGGGAGAGATAGATGTTGGCAGAGATACCAGCATGTATTTCGTGGGGGCAGACATAGTTGGAGCTTCCGAGTAGATTGTTGGTGAAAGGAGTAGTGTGGTGTAAGGGGATAGAATCGAGAAGCTCTCGCTTGCGTTCCAGCTGAAGAACTCACAAGGCAATACTTCGTCGTCCCGGGATTTCTTGGATCGTTGTAAGACTTATTACATTCTTTGTGCTGGGGATTTGGAGCTTCGAGCTTGCTTGCTGCGATTGATGACGGGCCGTGCACGATAAACTAGGAAGCTGTGAACAACTTCATCAAATCTCAAAACCATGCCTCGATGCCACTCCCGAGCCTCAAAATCACCGTTTTTAAAAGAAATACTTAGCTTGATGGCTGTAGATGATTCGGTTGGAATAAAGTATTGAGTTCACTGGTGCACCCATGGATGGTCCAGTCATTTGTCTCTTTGCTTTGGAGCTAAAAGAATCATGAGACTCTTCTTTTCTGATCTCATTCCCTTTATACTTCTCAAGTAGTATGCTTGATACTGCCTCAAAAGCGAGTCTAGCTAATATAGTGATTCCTTCTCCATCTCCATCAAACAGTGCTTTGTTCTGGATTATAGTACCATTACTCGTGGTAGATCCGTCAGTAGTACCTACAGCTCTCTTTTCCGCAAATGCATTCTTCAGCTCCGCTTCCTACTCATCTTCGTCAAAGTATCTTCTCTTCTCTTGTTCGCCTTCTCTGCTCCGTTCTCTGTGTCCTTCTACTTCGTTAGCTGTTTGACCGTTCGACTTGAGATACAATCACTGATGGCACAGCCATTTGGAATTTCATCGCAAAACCCAAGAGCTCCAGACGTCAGGAAGAAACGCTACATGTGTGCAGTGTATCCGATATTCTGGATTGGCACACTGGATATGGAGGATTCCAATTCCCAAAAATATTTTATATATTTTAATATTTAAAATTCCAAATACTTCGAACCTTTTAAATGTCATGTGTTCTAAATAGAACGATTAAATCAAAAGATATCAATACGTAAATCGATCAAAAATCCAACAGCCCTTTACTATCAGACTACATTCTAGGCGATAGAGAAGCCTGCGTGCGTGCTTCGCTTTAGGCTGCTTATGATGGCCAGTATATGATCTTTCGGGGTTGGAGATTACAGCAGATAGACAGAGGTCCCGAAAGGAGATAGGTCGTGGTTGAAGACCTACAGAGCTCACTTATCGTGTATGTCAGCGAGAATTCCACTTATTATCTATAGCTCGAAGAAGAATTGACAGGTAGAATAGAAAGAGGAATTAATCTCGCGGAGAACAACCAACCGTCAAGATAGCAATCGACCGCGGAAGATCCTAGCTTTAACCTTTTGAATGCAAACACAACTTCTAGAACAACGCTAGAGTCTATAATATTATTGGCATCGTTGCTCTCGTAAGAATGGTTGTGGCCGTGCTCCTGGTGTTGGAGCGACCAAACATCGATGGGGATCTCTGTCGGCAGATGCGGGCTACTTTTTGTCGGCCTGGGTAGATGACGATGACTAAGAGGACACTCCCGGCAGCTAGGCTATCGGCAAAAGTCTAGTTCAAAAACAAGTGCCTGTGCGTCTTCCAAAGACTACTCCGAGATAAGCCTGTCTAACTAGTTTGACATCGAGTCCCATGGGTATACTATGCTAGGCTAGCGTTAAATCCATACGTATGGACAAAGTTTGAACTCTCTATTGTAGTCTCTCATAACATGCTTGCGCACGACTAGATATGGCTGATGGGAGTTCAACCGTGCGTAGGAAGCATGAAGTCAAATCAGATATATACCGTATGTATCTTTGGTGTCTGTCATGTTCCTACACTAACGATCAATGGCTTGAGAGCTAACACCGCCTTCATAGTACCGTACGAGAAATACTGAGCTTCCATGGGTTTCCAAAGGAGTATTTACACCTTAGTATTCCCACGCCAACGATTCTTGTCGTTAATAAAGTCATTTATGCGATCAAGGACTGTCAGTACGGTCAGTACTGTACGCTCTTATACAGCAGAGAGTCAATACTGTCTATGTTAGTGCCTGAAAACTTTGAAACGGTTATTCTACTCTACTGCAACCTCTCCATCAAATGTCATATAACAAACCCTTGGCCTCGTCTTTGATCCTCCTCTGCACTTCTTCAACAAATCACTACAAGAGAGTAAAATAATTACGGCACAATTACAACTCCCACCCATCTAGTAAACACCTTTCAAAACATTAAATAGCTGCTATTGATCATCTATCTGTGGCATGCGAACAATTGTCTCCTTCTCATATCACCATCTCTTAGGTGTCGATATCTTATTTTATCTGCATACCCTTACACACAACTCTAATATCCTCTTCATTTTAATTCAATACAAATAATTTTCCATCGAGCCCATTTTATGTATGATTACAATGGGCTTCTCAAAAATTTACCGTTCCATTGCTCGACTTTTTTCGATCAAAGACATCAAGATCACAGATCAAGAAAGTTGCAAGAGTCCTAAGAAGCTCACAAAGAGCCAAGAGCCTACAAACGACAACAAGACTACTTTGAACAAGGTTATGAACTTTGTTGGCTTCTTGAATAGCAGCAGATCCAAGAGATACTCCACAAGTGACTAAGCAATAATACTTATCCCTCCGAACTAGGAAGTCTTCAAGAGACTAAACACTAACACTGAATTACCAAGATCGCAAACACTGGTTGGCTCCTTGGATCCTCCGTCAACAGGAGATGTCACAGTGGAAATATTTTTGCAGGTAGCTCAGCAAGCTAGCTTAGACGATGCAGTTAGCAGTAACATCTCTGATGGTTTTACTGGTCCCTCATTTACTGATACCGTGTTGCCAATTTTGATGGCAATTACTACCGGTATGTTGATCTCCTTATGCATTCTATCCTACAGAAATGTAAGTGTTAATAATATATTCTCAGGCGCAAA